CGAATTAATGAAATCTTGACTGTGTATGGATCAACGTGTTTCGGAACACTACATACCTTTTCGGTTCGGTTAGTTTTCGGCTATTGAAAAACCAAAATTCTAGCGGTCCCTAAACTGCATTGCATTGGCGGATCCGGCAAATTGGCAACATTGTTTTTTCCATTTAAACCTATGGAAATGTATCGATTCTTGGAGGGATCAGGTGCTCCGACAAGAATCGATTATTTAGCATAGGTTAAAATGGAAGAAACCCAATGTTGCCAATTTGCTAGATCCGCTACCACTACCACTGCACTGTGCTCCTAAGTTGTAGCAACTTGAGCAGTGCTCGAAACTAACAGGCGCCAACGCGCCAAATGCGCCTAAAAAATCGACCATGGCGCCTAAAAAATCGACCATGGCGCCTAAAAAATGAAGGCTCTGCGCCAACGTGCCCCCCCCCCCCCCACAAGTGAAAGCTTTTTCTATCCTTCACGATTTCATCATTTGTGCTTTTGTCTAGTTACAGTTACTTACTGCCCCAAGTTACAGCTAACGAAAACTTCTTGCGTCTAACTTTTCACTAAATGCGCCGTGATATATGGGTAAAAAGTCAATTTGGCCCCTAAAAATCTTCAATGGCGCCTAAAAATCGGGCTTAATGCGCCACACGGCTCCTAAAACTCAAAGGTGAGTTTCGAACACTGAACTTGAGCCTGTACACGAATCGAGTCCTCGTCGCAGAGCCTGCGGTGTCAAAAGCTCGCGGACTGAGGGGACAGCGATAGAATCTGAATGTTGGAGGTGGAAAACCGCAGAACAGTAAATCCTGTCTGGGCTGATTGTGGCAGACTTGATTTGCTGCGAAATCAATTTCATCCGTCAAATTAAATCATCACCCTTCACAGCGACTCGGGAGTGTAATAACATTCTGCGTGGCACTGGGACTAGCCACTCGGAGATGCAGTCGCCAATCGCCATGGCTGTCAAAACAGGGCGGGGCTTGGGTCGCGTCGCGGCGGCCGCGGGACGGCGGGACGGGGAGCGCGGAATGAGGGACGAGGGACACGGCAAGGGTGTGCTCCGGCTAATCCCACGCGAGGAAGTCGCACTCGTCAAGAAATCGTTTTCACCAATACCCCATTAATTTTAATCTTACTTTAAGTTGAACTACGTCTAGCTATTTCCCGCGTTGCCGATTCTTCGTCTTCCGTCCATTTGTTGTGATGAAGGGTTTCAAAAGGGATGAGGGGTGTCTGAGTGCCCACCAATGGAGGAGTTAGAAAAATTGGATCGAATTTAGCAAAGCGGAACCAACGGGATTGCAGTTTTTCCAAAGGCGTGCGGTTTCTTCTCTTTTAAAAATACTCAATTTATAAGTGCAACACTGGAAAAAAAAACCCATTGGATCTAGAGTCCAGACTCTTGAAAACATTGACAAGAAAAAATACTCTTGATTCAATCAGATTTTTGCTTAAATCAAAAGGGAATCCGCTCAAATTAAAAGGCTTGGTTCTTGATTTAAGCAAAAATTCGATTGAATTAAGAGTACCTATTTTTTCTTGTCGATGTTTTTAAGAGTCTGGACTCTAGATCCAATGGGTTTTTTTCCAAAGAATGATTTCTGATGACCTGATATACTTCTGAAAAAATGCTGAAACCAGTCACACTCTCAAAATCGCACATTTTTTTACCCCACCAAAAAGTTCTGTTACGTGTAGGGCATCCCAAAAATAAAATCGTCCAATGAACACAAACCCTGCGTTTATACAACACTATGGGGTACGCTCCCCGATCGTTCAACTGGTGAAACGGCACGGCGTAATGGATACAAATCAACGTGCTCTAAGATCAAGAAATTGCCTATTCGTGAAAATTGAAGGCGTTTTGGTCGAACGCGGTGACAGTATGTTCTTCTTTCTTTTTGAACTTGATTCAAGAAGAAATTCTTCTTTGTTGATTCTGAAACAAAATCATTAAAATTTACACGATTATTTTCCTTTAAAATTAACAATTTTTTAGTGGGAAGCAAAAATTATTTGCTATGTTGGGAGATTTTTTAGATAATTATGAAGAAACAACATTTTTACAACACTGTAATCGCGCTGGTTCCTTTTTGCTAAATGCGATCCAATTATTCCTCATTGTTCAATGGATTACATTTTGCAATAAGGAACTAATATTTTTGGTTAACCCATGAAAGCATCGATCTGGATAGGGATTATCAAAGAGGGAGAGGTGGAAGAAGAACACGAAGCAGGAGAAGCAGAAAAAGAAGAGGAAGACGAAAAAGACGAGGAGAATACAGTCAAATGAGGAGCGGGGAGAGGGGATGGAATAAAAAGAAAAGAAGGAGAAAAGTAGGAAGAGGAGAAGGGAAAGCGGAAGAAAAATACAGAAATGTAGATAAAGACAAGCTGGAGGAGTGAAAGAAAGAGAGAAAAGAAGAAGAAAATGAGGAAGAGGGGAGAAAATTAGGGAAGATAAGGAAAAAAAGGAGGACGACAGTAAAAAAGTTAAAAAGAAAAACGCGAGAGAAGAAGAAAAAGAAGAAGCAACAGTTATCTGCGTAGTAACATTAGTAGGTAGCACGTCCTTTGTGTCTAAAATGATCCAGAAATAATAATTCCCAATGGCAAAATGTGGCTTACAAGTTACGGCGATAATTTATCCTGTATATTTTCATAAAGACTATTGCAAACTCGTACTGAATATGAGGCAAAAGTGTAACTGGATATTTCATAGCTGGGTATTATTCAGTATAAGAGAAAAGCATCGTGTTCCTAGTTCGATTTTTTCTATGCTTCGGAAATAAGCAGTCAACGTAATATTAAAAAATCACGCAGATTTATCATTTGCACATGAAAGAAAGTAAAATAAAACATCAACGGTAAAGTTTGGATACAAATATTCGTGCTCGACGGCTGTCTGTGTTGAATACGCACTGAGATGAAGGCGCACTTGTGCGCCTCCCGTTCGCGCTCCCTCACAGCGGCGATCGCCTTCACAAAAAAAGATGCCGCACGCATTACCGGAGTGCTCGAATAGTTGTATGACCCAACGTAACCTAACTCAACCGCGCGATGCAACTCTAACGAGACGTTGCGGTTGAAACTTTGCAGACGTTTTATGATTTGTCGTCGTTGTATCATCTTCCCTCCCCACGCTCATTTTTTTTAGTGAAACGAGTCACTGCACTGATAACGAATTCATGTCTTGATTGTGGTGCTCGAGTCCGAAGCACCTCGGCCAATCTGGCTCGGACAATGCATCTTTGCAGCAGTGCATTATAAAAGAATTCAGACATTTGTAACTCTATGGTGAATGTCAGCCCTCCTTACATGGTTTATAAGGAAGAATATTTTTCTGGATAATTTTTAAGCTCAATACTTCGTAGGTGGGCGGTGAGTGGAGACGTGGATTATTTAGTATGGGATGAAAACAGTGAGTAAAGATAAACGAAAAAACACCCTGTGTGAGAGGCATATTGTGTTCAAATCAAAATACATACATACCGCTAGCAGGCCCGCCACATCCCATCTCGGGCCCTGGTACCAATTTTCTGGCCCGGGCCCCTAGCACAGGGGGGGGGGTCCGGGGGGCCTCCCCCGGGAAATTTTTGAAATTTTAAATCTATTTGGACGCATTATGAAGCTCTTAAGATGGAGATTTTCCATCAATTTCTGCAGAATGATTACGCCTTTTTGTTTACTTTCAGCACCGAAAACTTTCGAATTGTTGCGTTCAAAACATCTATAAATTTTTTTTGAGGGGGCAAATGATAATTTTCAATTCTATGGGGAGCCGGGCCCCCCTGGACTCCCCTTTCGTACGTCTATGGCAAGGGATTTAAGCCATTGAAGTCGAGGATGCCCAGAAAGGAGCCTCTTAGCATCCGACAATGGAAGAAAATGAAACACAGTTACTAAAAATATCATTCTACATATACTCAAAATCTTGAAAATCTCTAAAAAAGTAAGAAAAATTTTATAGTGCCCTAGCGTGTTTTTGAAACTTTATTCACCTTTTGCGGAATTGTTAGGGTAATTTTTTCACTTTTCCCTACGAGACAAGGGTTACACATGAATTCGTAGTGGTTTGTCACCTGCGTCACGGGCCCCTCCAGGGCCCGGGCCCCGGTACCAAGGACCCAGTATCCCCCCCCTTGTGGCGGGCCTGACCGCTAGCTATATTTGAAAAATGCATTTGTCTATCTTCAAAATCTGTAATTTTGATTCATATTTTTGAAAGAAAAGCAACACAATTATTCCCTTGATGTTTTTTGGAAATATTTTTCACGAAGTGAAGAAATTCGACAGGGAATGACTAAAAAACTATTGCTCCATTTCTTAAAAAGAAGAAGAAGAAAAAAAAAAGGAAACGTAAGTAGATAGTAACGTCACAATTGGAGAAACGCACGCATTTTTTACGCATTTCAGCGTTTTAAAAACTGATTCTACCAGTCTAATTGAGTAAATGATTGACTGCTCGATTACATATTTTGATTTGATTCTATTTACGGCTTCTTGTCAACACAGTTTTGCGAATAGTTGAATCGCATTTAGCAAAAAGGAACCAGCGCGATTACCATATCAAAATCTTGCAATTTCCTCTTCTCTTTTAAAAGTACTGAAAACATATACAGCGTTGAAATTTACACAATTAATTTCCTTTAAAATTAACAATATTTTGGAAAATAAAACTATTTGCTTTTTCGGGTGATCTATTTAGATAATTATGAAGAAGCAATATTTTTTGTAATCACGCTGGTTCTTTGATAAATGCGATCCAGTTAGTCGTAAGAGGAACATTATTAGGAAGCTCAGTCTAATGCTGGCATAGCACAGAGGGCTCAACAGAACTGTGCTCCATCCCATGCGCATGTTGTACTTGAACGGCTGAGATCGTGACCAGTGTGCGGCGGAGCCATCGTTCAGCTCCGGCAGAGTTCGGGAGTTTCCGCTCGACTCCCATAGTTGTTGCGCCGTGGGACGGGGAAGACGGAATCGGTGCGGCTATTGGTTAGCAACCGGGAGACCAAACGCGCGTCGTGTGAACCGAAAGAGTCCATCCAGTTCTAAAGAATGTTTGTCCTCAACTTCTTTTTGTCATGGAATCTCCGTATTTCGTTCGTTCTGTCTTGAAAACGGTAGCGTTCCTTCCCCGCGGATACGTTTTCGTGCGTCTCATAACGTCAGTGTTTTTGTGATAATGTGACTGTGTGTACATAACCTATAGTGTTGTTTTTAAATTATAAGTGCAGTGGATTGTGTAAATAAGACAATGCCGCATGTCAGCAGTGGAAGCGGCGGCGACGACCTAGGAAGTACTGATGAAGTTAAAGTTTTTAAGGATGAAGGAGAGGTTGAGGATGAGCAGAGGAACTCGGAAAACCTCACCGAGGAAAAGTCTAGTTTAATCGATCTGACCGAATCAGAGGTAAGATTTGTTTTTCTTGCATGCCTCGTGTGTTCGAAAGCAGTCGCTCAGCACAGCAAAGGCCCTCAAAGTGCGTCTCTCTTTTGGCTAGCAACATACATTTCCTCCAAATTCTTAATTTCATATCTGATGGCCTATAATTTTCTCCTGTTGTATCTGAATTCTTGTGTTTGTAGGCAAGGGCACATTCTTTAGGCCCTAAGTAGGGACTGACCATGAGGAATCCTTGAGTCCTCATGCCATTTTTGAAGACAGTTCTGTGTCCAGAACTGAATCATTAATTTTCTCATAACAACAACTGATACCCCCCACCAATATCTAACAGCACCTGTGGTCAATTTTTGAGTCAGTGCTGCAACACTCCTGACTTAAATTGCTGCTTAATGTCTTTATAGCATCTTAGAATCTTTTTGGTTCCCTCTGTCTATCTTTCCAAACTTCTCAGCTTTCGAGTGCACTTGCTGTGTGTATGCAAAATAGGTAGTAAATTCTCAACCAACATTTAACTCTAAGGCAATGTAGTCAAAGGTAGTTCAATACCCATGTGCTGTCTTCTGGATGGTCTGTAGCCTTTGTGATTAACATTTAATATTCAAGGTGACCTCTATGTCCACAGTTTTGCCCAATGATTGTGGCAGTAGGTAAAATTTTGAAAACCTATTGCGCCTCATAATGATTAAGTAAATTAGTAACGTTGCATACTGAGGCCAGATGAATTCCATGAGCAATACCTGCAAGTCCGGATTGACAATCCATGCCAAATTGCATTTCTTTTTCCCCTTTTTCTGAAAGCAGTTTCTTTACGCTTCAGAATTTTCCCCTGCTTTTCAAATGTAGCCATGTGGTGATCGAAAGTTCAGTTTGTAATTTGGTCATCGAAAAAAGTTTCCGGTAGGCACCACAGTTCAAGATATGAAATTTTATTGGATCAAGTTTAAGGCAGGTTTATTCCTCTTTTCTTTCCTAATTGGCTCTTCAAAATGGATATTTCTGATAGGATTTTTCCTCTGAACTAGCAGCACATTTGAGTCCCACCCTCGAACCTTTTATCAGCCAAGGAATGTCTCAAATTGACCGAAAATCCCTCCACTCTTGTGAGGAATTTACCACAGTTTGTATTCTTGATTTCTCAGTTAGTTGTCCACCTTACATTTCAAGAACACAGGTGCAAATCCAGGTCTCTGTGCCTCCCTCTGTCTTGTTTTATACCTCCCTCTCCAAATTTTGCCTTCACTTTACATCTTAGTTTCTTGTTTTGGTCCTTTAAACCCCAAAACATTTTCATCCGAATATGTCTACGAACATTTAGGACCGACGTTTTCACTTGGGCACTCCTTTGATAATTTTTGGCACCTGTTTATCCTGCGCACTCCCTTTTTGTCTCCCATTTTTTTGCGAATATTTTTCACTCCAACATGCTTTTGCGCATTGTATAAGAGATCGCATCATATACTCCAGTTCCTTAGCTCACGAGTACTTTGGAATTGATACAAATCACCCGCTCATTCATCATTTTTATTTTCTCCTTTCAAACGACGTTCTCATTTTTCCCGAAATGTTAACTCTTCTACTGCCCCCGTATTTTCGGCGGTCATTCTGAGGCTGAACGCTGAGTCCATTGAAAAGTTGCAACCGGCAGATTAGCCTACTGAAGGGAATCGGTCAACTGCGTTCTGTTTATGCATAATTTCCGGAGAAAAAGTTCAGGGAGTATAGGGATCACTTTCGGTCCCGGTCAAATTATCGCTAGTTTAAGAGGTGAAATCTTGAGCGTAATAATTAGTGGGGTTGTCTCGGACTCAAATCCAGAATGGAGCATTCGGTGAGGATGTGAAGGTGTTTGTCCTGAGTTGAGAAGTGCCGCAGATAAAAAGTGTCTGACAGAACACTGGCAAGTTCGTAGCTAAAAATCTCCTGCGGCCTGCGGCGGAAGCCGTCTGTCTCTGCGGCTGGAGTAACTCCGCCTTGACGCCAAATCGCCACCCTTTTCACTTTTGAGGGACCAAGACTAGCTTCACTTCTATTCCGGGAAGGTTTGACGTTTTCACTATTAAAAGCCGTTTTCATCTGCTAATAACCCCTTCCCCCCGATTTTTTTAAAATTTTTAATTTATTTTCCTACCGATAATGACTCAGTTTTTGAGTCGAAACGTCTTGGGTTTTTCGTGTTGTATTTTTTGTCTTTTTTCATGTTACCGTCGTCTCGGGCTGCTTCGTAAACGTTTGTCATTTGTATCTAATATCAGATCCGGGTTTTTAAATCTTCATTTCTCTTGTAATAGTACTAAAAATGGTGTACTCATCCGTCAATTCACTCGAATCTACACGGAGGTGTAAATATATTTCACCATCCATGCAAGACTCTTTTTTCTCTTTACTTACTTCCACCCCGTTCAGGTCCTGTGTAGAGTATTTTTCATATTTGTTTAAAAAATGGTCAGAAAACGCGCCGTAATCCTTCGAATGTTATTCTGATGTAACACTTCGTCCGCAGTATTGATTCTTTCTTTAGTACAGATTTACTTAGTCGATTTAATTTTTGGAATAACGTCGAAAAAATGTTCAAGAATTCCTCCTTTTCATTTCTTTAGATCTCTCATTTCAACGAGAAGTCACATTTCCCCTTTATAATTTAAGAACGCCAACTAAAACTTCTCAATTTTTACAACGGTTGCATGGCCAGAGTTGATCAAAAATCTTACTTGCTCCGATCGCTTCGCAACTTAGGCTCCAGCTCAACCTATTTTAAAATGCGTTTTTTTTTTTAATATATACTTTAGCGCCGCCCGACCGCTTTATCTCTGTTCAATCGTTTAATTGGATTCTCCTCTTCACCTTTTTTTAAATCAAATCAAGCAAGTTATTATCTTAAAGAGGTTGCATATTTAGCAAAATCACGTGTTGTCAATTTATATTTATCTGCTCCCAAAGAGTTAAGGTACAATTTTCCTATGTACTCACCGAACGCATAAAATGCGTATTTCCTCATGCCACCTTCCGCAAACTATTTTTGTTTAAGTATCTTCTCATAGTACTTCATTTATTTTTGAAGCCTCCAAAATTATATTTCCTTAAATTTCATCTCGATTGACAGAATCATAAATGAATCGGCATGGAACAGAACATAGCGCTCGAGACCTTTACTGGAAATTGAAGAGGGACCTCAAGCGTTATCTCCCGCTCAGTGCTTATCAAACAAGTACCGCTAATCATAGAACTCGCAATTAGTTCCAAGAACTGAACTATTACTCTTGAATACATTTAATTTCAGGGCTCTTATGCGCAATTTTCAATGTCCTTCAGATCGATTAAGAGAATTCAGAAAATACCATTTCGAATAATGATTCTTATGGGCATCATTTACCTACCCTTCCTCGTCAATTGTTTTCTGTTGTTTGCTCCTATTATTCAGACTGTTTCAGACATTTACTCTCTGATGTTCCTCGGCTTGCAAGTATATAACGTAGCAGGAACTTTCAGCATAAAGTAGAGTTTCTTTCAGTATGAAATAGCAGTTTCTTTCATTCGGTCGTCTCCTTTCCGGTGGAAGCAAAAACTCTAGCGGAAACTATGACAAACTTGCAACCGCGCTAAACTGCCGCCCCACCTGACTCAAATCTGTTCCCGATTTTCCCCCTTCTGAGAAAGATCTGTTTTCTTCCCCTTGTTGGCTATTAATATTCCTCTCACAATGCTCCGCACAGCATTCCTACCCAATGTAAACACATTCACCTACGCAAGATAGCCCTGCTCCAGGCTTTTTTTGTTTACGTTCCCAGAAGATTTTCTGCCTTTAGCCGTTCTAACAAATTGGAAGCTGTTAAATATTTGCTGATTTGATTCCCCATTTCATGCCTCGATGTTCGTTCTAAATTCTTCACAAATAATCAAGTGTCCCTTTCGCTAGTTCATGCACCTGTAAGGCCCACCGCGCCGGAGTTCCTTTCAGTCGATGGGGCATCGGGCAAATTTGTGCTTCGATTTGCAGTGAAAGTGAAGCTCCATTTTTACTTTCTCGCTCCCCTAGGGTAGAGAGGAAGTATTTTTTCCCTCTCGGAGAATATTCTCTGGATAGCTTTCTCGGTATACCTGAAAATTTCGAGAAGTATACTCCTATGATTTCCCCAGAAAAAAATAATTACCTATACGCAAAATTCAACAACCTCTGATTTTTCTTTTACCATTTTTCAAATATCCCACTGGGCTAATCCCATGATTATTGCCCCAGCTCTAGGTAACCGTTGCCTGAGACCATCAAACTCTGGTCACCTGGCCAGGAATCGAACCCCGGAACGCGGGACCTCTTCTGCCGTGCTAAGAAAGAACGCCATATGAACATTCGAGAGTTGCCAATTTTCCTTCAATAAAATGTTTATTTTTGAGGTAAATTATGAATATTTTTCCTTGAAATGTTCAGAGGTTTTAGATCGAATTACAAACGCAATTATCTGAGAAATTGGTAGACATACATTTAAGATTTTCCTGAAAATTAGGGATTTGCCAGGAGAAATTTGGCAACGCCTGAAGGCTCATACGGCGTTTTTCCTCAGTATGGCAGTCTTGGTCGTGGTTGAAGCGGCGATGTTCCTTAGTACATCAGAGTGCTGCACCGGCGTGGAGCTGCGCGCAGCGTCAAAGCTCTCGTGGTTTTTGCATTAATTTGACATAGCCACCTCGTCTTGGTTGGTTGAACCGTGGTTAATCGTACGGCGAATGCGCGGAACTCGGCTGCGAACACTCGCGTGCCAGATCCTTTTGCAGGGAAGGTTTCGAAAGATCGCCCGAGTCGGTGGACATTTCTGAGGGTATTTCGGCTTCGTTTTCACCGTTAAGAACGCCGTGCTCTTTTGAGGTTAATCCGGACAATTCAAAACGGCCGAGTGTCTCGTCGAGTGATTACAGCAGCTTCGATTGCCACCGCCGAGCCATATCGTTCCAGCCGTCATCCTCAAGTGGAGACTAGGCGTGAGTGCTCCTTATCTCACATCCAGGTTTGCGTT